AGCTGTATTTTCTACACCAACCCAACTTTAGCTACGATCAACCCCCAGAAAAGTTCCAGGGGGACCTATACTTTAATTATTGTAGAATTATGAGCCCCTCTTGGGTTGATTTACTAAAGACAAATAAACTGGACAATTTGCAAGTGTAATTACACTATACAAGGGAATGTTCTCCAGAGCTTAGTAAATGAGGTAAAGCTTCAGTTTGCAAAGAATATCCTGTCAAGTGCAAAAAAAAAAAAAAGAAACCCAGCATTTCTGCTTTTACATGATTGCGTGATGGAGAAGAGCAGAGGGAAACTGTACTTGCAAAGTGAACAGTCTATTTGCCTTTAGTAAATCAACCTCTCTGGCTTTATACAAGTGCAGTTTAGGTTTTGATTCCAGGCACTGACCCTCCAAAGAAGCTGCAGAGCCTCTTATGCCTTTGCTACATATTCCTACAATCCTTCATAATATAAAAGCTGAACGTTGGGGTTTCTTAATGTCTATGTTGAAGTTTTGGTTTGCCAGTGGGAAATTCTGCCTTCAGTAGTGATTTTTCTTCCTCCTCCCTGTCCCTACACCTCACACAATTGTGCCAGCAAAAAAAAAAAAAAAAAATCACACTTCCATAGCACTCACCCCTCTTTGTTGTAAATACATTCCGTAAATGACTTCACCGCTGTCCAACGCCACCACAAACTATCTCCAGTTTGGCTCCATACACTCTTCCTTACATATCCCCACCACCTCACAACCTGTCCACCCATGTCCTGCCTCTCTGCTGACTTACTGCATATAGTGCGCAGCATTAACAAAGGGCAGTTGCTCTGTGGGGGTAATGTGCGGGAAGAGATGTTACAAAGGACAGCCACTCAGCAGGTGCAATGTGCAGGGCAGAGATGTTACTTTGCAAACAGTTTTGCTGTGTTTGTGTCTGGAGTCTTTACTAAGAACCTGTCACTACAATAAAAATATATATAAACTTTTATCCTGTGCTAACCTGTCCTCCCACATTTTCTGCCTGCACATTGTGTACGCTGTCCACACTCTCTCCCCATCATAACCTCCTGCATTTACAGGCCTCATCATACCCTCTGCACTCCTGTTCTGGACATACTGGCCTCATCATACCCTCCGACCTTCCACACTCCTTTCCTGGACATACTGGCCTTCATCATACCCTCCGACCTTCCACACTCCTTTCCTGGACATACTGGCTTCATCATACCCTCTGCACTCCTGTTACTGGACATACTGCCTCATCATACCCTCCGTACTCCTCTCCTGGCCATACTGGCCACATCATACCCTCCACACTCCTCTCCTGGACACACTGGCCTCATCATACCCTCCGCACTTCTCGCTTGCATATACTGGCCTCACACAATACCCTCTGCACTGCTCTCCTGTGCATACTGGTCTCATCATACCTTACACACTCCTCTACCACATGTCCTGGCCTCTTCCTACCTTCCACACTCCTCTCCTTCACATACTGACCTCATCATAGATTTCACACTCCTGGCCTCATTAACTTCCACACTCCTTTCCTGCATGTGCTGGTCTCAACATACCTTCCACACTCCACTCCTGCACATACTGGCCTCATCATACCCTCCGCACTCCTGTCGTGTACATACTGGCCACATCATACCCTCTGCACTCCTCTTCTGTACATACTTGCCCCATCATACCCTCTGCACTCCTCTCCTGTACATACTGGCCCCATCATACCCTCTGCACTCCTCTCCTGTACATACTGGTCTCATCATACCCTCCACACTCCTCTCCTGCACATACTGGTCTCACCATACCCTCCACACTCCTCTCCTGCACATACTGGTCTCACCATACCCTGCACACTCCTCTCCTGTACATACTGGCCTCATCATACCCTCCGCACTCCTGTTGTGTACATGCTGGCCACATCATACCCTCCACACTCCTCTCCTGTACATACTGGCCTCATCATACCCTCCGCACTCCTGTCGTGTACATACTGGCCACATCATACCCTCTGCACTCCTCTTCTGTACATACTGGCCCCATCATACCCTCTGCACTCCTCTCCTGTACATACTGGTCTCATCATACCCTCCATACTCCTCTCCTGCACATACTGGCCTCACAATACTCTCCGCATTCCTCTCCTGCGCATACTGGCTTTATCATACCTTCCACACTCCTTTTCTGCACATACTGGCCTCATCATACCTTCCACACTCCTCTTTCACATGTTCTGGCTTCTTCATACCTTCCACACTCCTCTCCTTTACATACTAGCTTCATCACACCTTTTACACTCTTCTCCCACACTTTCTGGCCTCATTACCTTCCTCACTCCTTTCCTGTACGTACTGGTCTCATCATACCCTCCATACTCCTCTCCTGCACATACTGGCCTCACAATACTCTCTGCATTCCTCTCCTGTGCATACTGGCTTTATCATACCTTCCACACTCCTCTTTCACATGTTCTGGCTTCTTCATACCTTCTACACTCCTCTCCTTTACATACTAGCCTCATCATACCTTTTACACTCTTCTTCCACACTTCCTGGCCTCATTACCTTCCTCACTCCTTTCCTGCATTACGGGCCTCATCATACATTCTGCACTCTTCTCCTACACACACTGGTCTCATCTCATCATACATTCTGCACTCTTTTCCTGCACATACTGGCCTCATCATACATTCTGCACTCTTTTCCTGCGCATACTGGCCTCATCATACATTCTGCACTCTTTTCCTGTGCATACTGGCCACATCATACATTCCGCACTCTTCTCCTGCGCATACTGGCCACATCATACATTCCGCACTCTTCTCCTGCACATACTGGCCACATCATACATTCCGCACTCTTCTCCTGCACATACTGGCCTCATCATACATTCCGCACTCTTCTCCTGCACATACTGGCCTCATCATACATTCCACACTCTTCTCCTGCACATAGTGGTCTCATCATACATTCCGCACTCTTCTCCTGCACATACTGGCCTCATCATACATTCCGCACTCTTCTCCTGCACATACTGGCCTCATCATACATTCCGCACTCTTCTCCTGCACATACTGGCCTCATCATACATTCCGCACTCTTCTCCTGCACATACTGGCCTCATCATACATTCCACACTCTTCTCCTGCACATACTGGCCTCATCATACATTCCACACTCTTCTGCTGCACATACTGTCCTCATCATACATTCCGCACTCTTCTCCTGCACATACTGGCCTCATCATACATTCCGCACTCTAATCTCCTGCACATACTGGCCTCATCATACATTCCGCACTCTTCTCCTGCACATACTGGCCTCATCATACATTCCGCACTCTTCTCCTGCACATACTGGCCTCATCATACATTCCGCACTCTTCTCCTGCACATAGTGATCTCATCATACATTCCGCACTCTTCTCCTGCACATATTGGCCTCATCATACATTCTGCACTCTTCTCCTGCACATACTGGCCTCATCATACATTCCGCACTCTTCTCCTGCACATACTGGCCTCATCATACATTCCGCACTCTTCTCTTGCACATACTGGCCTCATCATACATTCCGCACTCTTCTCCTGCACATACTGGCCTCATCATACATTCCGCACTCTTCTCCTGCACATACTGGCCTCATCATACATTCCGCACTCTTCTCCTGCACATACTGGCCTCATCATACATTCCGCACTCTTCTCCTGCACATACTGGCCTCATCATACATTTTGCACTCTTCTCCAGCACATACTGGCCTCATCATACATTCCGCACTCTTCTCCTGCACATACTGGCCTCATCATACATTCCGCACTCTTCTCCTGCACATACTGGCCTCATCATACATTCCGCACTCTTCTAAAGCACATACTGGCCTCATCATACATTCCGCACTCTTCTCCTGCACATACTGGCCTCATCATACATTCCGCACTCTTCTCCTGCACATACTGGCCTCATCATACATTCCGCACTCTTCTCCTGCATATACTGGCCTCATCATACATTTTGCACTCTTCTCCAGCACATACTGGCCTCATCATTCATTCCGCACTCTTCTAAAGCACATACTGTCTATATCATATTCCTTACACTCCTCTCCTGCACATACCGACTCGCCATAACCCCCCACTTCTCTCCAATACATACTGCCACTGTCACACCCAATTTTTGCAGCATTGGAAAGGACACACTTTTGCTAGCTTAAAGTGGTTGTAAAGGTTAAAGGTACTTTTACCGTAATGCATTCTATCCATTAAGGTAAAAAACCTTTTGAATGTAGTCCCCCCCCCCCCCCAATACTCTTCTGAGCCTGATCTCGATCATGTGCTGTCTCTCTCTCCCCTCGTTGGCTCAGATACAGTAGCAAGAGCCACTGGCTGATGTCAATCAAAGCTAGTGATAAGGGGGCAGGGCCAAGTCTCGATGTCTGAGTCTACAGGCACAGACAGTGGGGCTCAGGAGCGAGCATGCAGGAGGCCCCCGATAGGAAGTATTTTCCTATGGGGTACCACTGAGAAGAGGAGGAGCCAGGAGTGCTGGAGGGGGACCCGAGAAGAGGAGGATCATGGACTCTTTGCGTAAAACCATTACATAGAGCAGGTAAGAATAAACCTGTTTCATATTTAAAAAATCTATACATATATTTTGTTTACAGTCACTTTAAGATAACTATTGTGCTGTATTCACTGACAAGATACCAAAATAATATTGTGGCTCATTGGTCCTTTAGTAATAAATACCCATTAAATAATTTACATTTTTTCTTGACAATGATGAGCCCAGTCACAGTTCACTAAAACAATATCATTTGTTTTTCAATTCTTGAAGCAATCAGCAGCCATTCAGTCTTCATTTCTCACTTCTCTGTTATCAGTAAACTGAAATGTGATTGGTTGCCACAAGTTATTACAATTTACATATTATTACTATTCTTAGTAATGCTTTACTAAATAAAACTGAATACGTCCACTGCATACCATCACCAGGGTCAATGATCTCCACTGTTGTAATTTCTGGAAACTCCAAGGCCGCCATGACAGGCTCTGACAGAGCGATCTGGAAGGTTTCAGATTGTTCATACTCTCCGTCAGTTAGGATGCGCACTCTCCAGGTTGCTGTGGTCTGACCTGGATTAAACTGGACTTGTTTCTGAGCCTTCCCTCTGAAGTCTTTGTCTTTTTCTGCTGTGCCATCCATGGTACCAATACCTGGAAAAGAAAGGCACATTGCAAAATGTCACAAGTCTGTATGATTTTTGTGAGTGGAAGATTTATTGTAAAGAATGTGTTACCCAACATTTCATTTTCCCGATATGTGCTTGCTGTACCATGTACTTGTATTAAAAAATATCCTGTTCTCTTTGTATTGCTTAAGTTGTGTGAAATTTCTGGTGGTCCTGCCAGTCCTCCTGGTTTTCTATTTCAAACTGACCACGCTAGGCACCAGAGCACATCCATCTGAGTGTGGTCAGTTCTCTGGCTGGCTGGGAGAACAGCCTGCCTCCAATGATCAGACTTGTGCTGACGCGCCCCCTGCTCAGCCATTCACTGGGAAATCAGAGTACTGCTGTTTCTCCTCCCCTAGCTCTCCAAGCTAGAGTGGAGCTCATGTAACCACTTATAAAAATAAAAAAAGGTATTTATAATGTACATTATTATAATATATATACATACACAAACACACATTTTGCCTTTCATTTCTGTATTAAACTGAATAGGTTGTGGGTTCATATATATTTTAATGATACCCCGGTAGTTCTTAAATATGAACCTCAGGCAGGTATAGGTACTTGAGAGTGACTTGAATTCAGTTTTCTTTTAATCACTTTTAATGCAGCACTTAGACTGATCTATATACATTACAGTGATTTTAACAAACTTTGCTGAGACCTACCTGTTTCTGTTCTGAAGAAAAAAGCTGTTTGTTGTTTGCAGAGTGATTCTGAATGGGAGTGACTTTTTCATTATAAACCAAGTGCACCCCTTTAGAAGTGATTAACACTCTGGGAATATTGCACCAAAATGAAATTTTGCTGCAAAGGATGCCTAAAATCTGACTTGTATCTTAGTGCAGACTTCTGGGAAAAATCAGAAAGCCAATCACACAAGCAGGAAACAACAATTCTGAGGGTGTTCTGTTCTGTCGCCATATTACATTGAATTTTACAGAAGATTACAGTGCTGCAGATTGAAAAGGAAAGGTCATTTTTAATGACATTCCATTGTAGTTTGGCTTGTGTAGCAATTGTATATGCTATATATATGTTTTTTCGCATCTTTTTACCCCCACAAAAGTGGAGTTACCCTCTAAGGCTGGATTAACACTTGAGTGTGATGGGTTAATTTCTTGTGTTTTCAGAGGTTTATAAGCTTGAGCATTTTTCTGTTAGCCAGTTATCAGGAGGAGGAGACAGTTGTTAAGACAAATACACCTTGCATACATTCATCAGGTCAAACATGTGCAATCACACCCCAAAGAAGCTCACGTTTTCTGAACTTTTGTGAATGGGCACAATAAAATAACATGGTAATGTGGTGTTGAGCATTGAACCGCTACCGGAAACGTGCTTTAAAGTATTACTAAACCCACAACAGTAAAATAAGTCTGTATATGCAGCAAAGCATGCTGGTTATAGTCACTGTAGAACCACAGAAGTCAATCCTCTGCATTGTGTAAAAAAGGCTGTTTGATCCTGTCTTATCTGATCCTCCCTTTCTTCTACTGTCCGCAGTCCATCTACTGATAGTACAGTGCTCTAGGAGTCACTCTGCACATGCTCAATTTAGTGTGTATGGCTAGAGAGTTTCTTTTTTCTTTGGGAGGGTGCATGTGATCAGCACGGGGCCAAACAGCATTGTCCAGACAGAAGGTTAGGAGATATGCAGCCTCATAGAACAGTAATAGGAGAATGAAAATTCCTCCTACAAGCTTTAACCCGTGCTCGGCTGGACACTGATAGAAGTCACAAGACTGCTCAAACTGCTGACGAGAAAAGGTATTTAGCAGTTTATAGTTACTAAAATAATTGTATTTCAATGTTCTGTGTACTGTGGGAGACCAGATATAAAAAATGCAGAGTCCTGGGTTTAGTAACACTTTAAATCAGTCAGGTGTGAATGTTTCTAACTGTCCTATTAACAGGCTAAGGGCAGGGTGCTGTCAGCCAGCGTTTCTATCAGAGAAAGAAGTGGCATCCCTTATATATTCTGATGTTTACACAGAGTTCAACTTTAACTGGTTCCCCGCCGCCCTATAGCAGAACTACTGCTACAGGGCGGCAGGGCTGCGCAAAATCACGTATATATATATATATATATATATATATATATATGTGATTTTGCATTTCCGGGTAGTGGGAGCACACACACCGTCCTACCCGTGCCATCATCGGCGGCTACAGCTATTGATCACCGGGTCCCAGCCAGAAATTCCCCGTCGAACCCGGCGATCACCAAGGAACATTTAGACAGGAGAGGTCTGTATGTAAGCAACACAGATCTCTCCCCTGTCAGCGTAAACATGCTAATTTGTATTGCTCTGCATGACACAGCAATACAAAGCAGTAAGTTTCCCTAGTAAAACACACACAGCACACCCTTTGATCGCCCCAGATGTTAACTCCTTCCTGCCCAGTGTCATTAGTACAGTGTCAGTGCTTTTTATTAGCACTGATCACTGTATTAGTGTCACTGGGGATGTCAGTGGCGGTTAGTCGTCCCCCCCCCCCCCAGTGTCAGAATACCCACTGCAGTCCCGCTATAAATCGCTGATCGCCGCTATTACTAGTATATAAATAAATAAAAATTCCAGTATATATACCACCATTTGTAGACACTATACCTTTCACGTAAACCAATTAATTTACACGCATTGGGATTTTTTTTAGCAAAGACATGTAGCATTTTGGCCTAAATTTTTGATGAAATTTTATTTTTTACATTTTATTTACTAGATGTGTTTTATGCAAAAAGTAAAAAACATAGTTTTTTTTTCACAATTGTCAGTATTTTTTTGTTTATAGCGCAAAAAATAAAAACCGCAGAGGTGATCAAATACCGCCAAAAGAAAGCTCTATTGTGGGGAAAACATAAAGTTCATTTGGGTGCAGCGTTGCATGACCGTGCAATTGTCCGTTAAAATAACACAGCGCCGTACTACAAAAAAAATGGCCTGGTGAGAAAGGGGGGTAAATCCTCTGGAGGGCAAGTGGTTAATCTAGCAGTAATATGATACTATTTTTGTTCCTATTACAGTAAGAGGATATCTGTGTAACTGACATGTCATTGCATCGATTTTGTTAGTTGTCAGATACATCAGTGACCTCTTCTAACTGACATCGCCCTCATAGCCTGCATGCTCCTTTCTCTGTGATGTCATACATGTGCTGTCTATTAAATCTGACATTATTTCATGTTTTTGTACAAGAAAAATGTGTGAAGAAGCAGTGCAGGTCTGGGAAATGATGGCACACGTTTATGTTGACTTCTGAACAGGGATGGACTGACAGCTCATGGGGCCTCCAGGCTATAGGGGATCATGGGGCCCCTGTGTCCTTGCCCAAACTCAAAAAAAACCTATGAAAAAGGTACCAAGGGCATCTCATGGGGCCCCATACTGACCCCGGGCCCTCGGGCAGTGCCCGAACTTCCAAATGATCAGTCCACCCCTGCTTCTGAATTACTATGTGAGTGTTCAGTAAAGCATATCTCTGGTCAAAATGTAAAATCATTGAATCATTTCCCTAATGTATTTCAATTATTTTCTACCCTTATCTGAATGATCTTGAAGTTTGTAAACTTACTCTGTGAAGACCCCCCACACATTTACTTTGCTTGAATTCAGGGACAAGTATTCTGAGGAGCTGAGAGGAGGAGTTTCAGGAGGCGGAGTCAGTACGGGAATCCCTGCTTGCAGGCAGCAAGGTACCATGGGACATGTAGTCCTTGGAAATGGAATGTAAACAGCAGAGGAGGAACTGCAAAGCATGCAGGGAATCAGGAAGATGTGGAAAGAGATGGCTAGCAGACAGGCAGCACTCACAACATGTACAACCCTATTTAGTGCAGCGCAATCTCCCAAATATTGGTATTTAAAAAACAATAAATATGTAAACTCTAAATAAATATGCACATACCCCAAACATCAAAGAACAAATATCACAACCTTCTTATCACCACTGTGATCCAAAAAAACAGCAAAATCTCATATCTTCTTAAATACAAAGTGTTACTAAACACAGTCTTCCATAGTACATGGAAACACAAATATTTTAGTAAATATAACTGCTAAATATCTTTTCTCATTAGCAGTATATAGCAGTCTTGTGACTTCTATCAGTGTCTAGCCGAGCACTGATTAATCTTGTAGGAGGAGTTTTCATTCTCCTTTTAGTGTCCTATGAGGCTGCATGACCCCTGACCCTCTGTCTGAACAGGTCTGATTGGCCCTGTGCCAATCACATGCATTCTTCCTCCAAATAAAACAAAAAACTCTCTACCAATACACACCAAACTGAGCATGTGTCACTGCTGCTCGAACTATGGCAGATGGATTGGGGACAGTAGAAGAAGGGGAGGATCAGAGCAGACAGGATCAAATAGTCTTTTTACGCAATATGTAGGATTAACCCCTTAGGTTCCACAGTGAGTATAACAAGCATGCTTTACTGCATATATAGACTGATTTTACTGTTGTGGGTTTAGTAACACTTTAAAGCACGTTTCCAATAGCACTTCAATGCTCAACACCATGTTATTTTATTGTGCCCATTCACAAACATTCAAAAAACGTATGTGAGCTTCTTTGGGGTATGATTTGGGGTATGATTGCACAATTTTTTACCCCAATGGGAGCACCTGATGAATGAATGCATGCAAGGTGTATTTGTCTTACAATTTTCCATCTTTAAATGTCCAAAATGTCATCTATATAATAAAATCCACAACTCCTTATCACAACTGTGATCAAAAAGTGAAAAATCTTGCTTCAAACACAAGAAGCACTTTAAGATTGATGTACATTTTTTACTTTCAGATCACAATGGTGATGAGGAGTTGTGGATTTTATTACATGGCTGACATTTGGGAAACGTACCGTGTTTTTCGCTCCATAAGACGCACCTGACCATAAGACGCACCTGACCATGAGACGCACCTAGGTTTTAGAGGCAGAAAACAGGAAAAAAAAAATTCTGAACTAATGGACTGCA